CGGCGATTCCCGCCGCACATGGAGGCGCGAATGGTCTCAGGATATGCTCCAAGTCAACAGCCAAAAGAAAACGTCTCGCGCAACAGTTTCGTACAGGGTGGATGAGGTGTCGAAGGATAGGTGGGGGTTCAGTGGCGTCAACAGGGTGGATAGAAGGAATATATCGAAATGTCAAGACACGAACGCAAGTACATGGAGGAAAGGATCGTACGAAACAAATAAAGGAGCGTTCGGTAGCATAAGAAGAAGATCCAGGTACCTTGGAGTTGTGGAGGAATGCAATGTATACAAAAAGGCCTGAAGTGCAGCTGCCGTGGCAGGCGAAAGTGCGCACGACTCAAATCAATAATAAACACTTTAACCAAGGAGACTTGGATGGGGAATGGCGCAGATACCGCATGGCAGTAATAGATGGGTCGCTCGTTCCTGGTACGTCAAAGTTAACTCCTCCCAACGCGGCCGGTGATGTCGATTTTCAGCGAGTTCCAGCAGAGCAAGCAAGGCGTTTCTTGCCGGGTGTCAAAGAGAAAAGTCTTTTGAAGTGGGCAGCGCCACAGGAGGACAGAGATGCCCACCACGCCTGGGGGCGAATGCAAAGGGTCCGTTTTCGAAGAGGCCAGTCTGTGGGAGACCACCTCTGGGCGTCGGGTTCGAGGCAATTCCCGCCCGGTCAGTTCGCTGCTGTACTCGGTACCCAGGGCTTCAAAATCAAGCTGTCACCTCCCAGTGGACATTGGCGACACTGCCCAAGGTTCATGGATGATGAGTGATGACACCCTCGCCAGCGTCAGAATGGGATGACCCTTGGCGAAACCAGGCAAAAGAGCATCTGAATGGGCATGACGTCCCCGCCAGTGGATCTGTTCCAGGACCATTGCAAGGGGTTCGCTAAAGGCCGAAGGGCCTTCTCATCAAGCGCAAGGGAGCTGAACTAGCCACTGGTCTGACGAGGCTTGCATCTTTAGCCTGCCACTGGCACCCACCTGCCGGAGCGCCAGGCGAGATTTAGAGTGTGGCGCCCAAGGAACATCAAGCAGGGGGTCATGCAACCTGGTTGGACCTCAGTCTTTCATACCATCCGCATCACACCTGATCCTAGGCGTGAGGATTGGCTGCCCCGTCGTGGCCTGGATTGCGCACAGGCGGGAGAAGCTCCAGACGATGCTCTAGAAGAAGGCATTAACCAAGACGACAAGTCGCGAGTGCTCAACCTCAGCTGCAACGGTCTCTATCCATCGGGCCGATGAGGTGATGGCCACACTTCTTTCTGGGGCTGCTGATTGATCCTCAAGTAATTATTATAAAGGGCCCTCAGGTCCGACTCGAGGATGTGCTGTGTCACACAGGGCCAATGGGCAGCTGTACAACCGCCATTCGACAGATGGCACCGTGTGTAAGGATTCGAACAATGCTCGAATTTCGCTGTGGCTGTGTGCAGACTACTCTAACAAGTTCCCTTGACCATAACCGACTGCGATGCCTCGGTCGAGGAGGGCAAATGTGATCTCTCAAACGGATGGATCCTCCGGTGCCTTGTCGCGAAACGAGTCTTCCAGACAACGGACAGGATATCCTAAAAAAAATTAGCAATGTGTAGTACCGCTGTGGTCAGCATTACTCTGGCTTGGAAATCGTCCCAAAGGCAGTTGTCCGACATCGATTGAAACTGTCTACAGCTCAATCGAGGACCCAATTCTTTCTATTCCAACATTAACTTGTCGACAGTGTACCTGACATCCCCTCGATCTAGAGGCGTTGTCGAGCCGAGCCTCATTAGCCAGTCGGATGGCAACAGTGGAAGCATCGACCCAAAGATCTGGCGAGCTGTCAGCTAGAGCCCGTGAAGCGTGAGTAATGCGCCTGTGTCAGAGGTGGCTGCAATGCAATACCCGCGCCTAACCTGTCATATGGCTGATGAAGCCACGTCTGTTATCCATACCGAGTACGCATCCTCTCTTTCGTATCTACCTAGAGTCCATAAAATTGTTGTCTATCCCACCTGGGAATTCAGCAACAATCTCCCGGTCATGCAAACAGCACGCACCAAGCCACCCACTTATTACCGAGTACTCGTGCTCCAATTTTGTCCTCGGGGCTTGACCTGCATGCTGTATGCATCTTCGGGGACGCGACGAGGCGGCCTTGGACTCTTACGTCCAATGATATCTTTGACATAATTTCAGATGCATTATTGGCATATCCGTGCGACGGCGGCGGAGTGGGAACAAGGAGTCCTGCAGCATGCATTTGTTTCACACCTGGTTCCTTGGGTGGTTTAGGTTCCCAAAAGATCTCCGCAGCCCGACAGCAAAATCAAATTTTTTTTTTATGGAAATTGGTAAGATTGAACGCATTCTGACCTGTGGCCTTGCTACTGAACACAGCCCAAACTGGTTCAGGCACAGTGGTAGTGGTAAGTCCCGATGAGCATCTTAAACTTCCTCTGGTGGGGTTGTTTGATGTGTACCAGTAGGTAAGTATTTTTGTGCCGTATTGGAGATGAATGATCCTGGAGGGCTCGTTTAGCCGCACTAGGCTGTGGCTTAGAGGCTCACCAGGCCGCGTTTCAGTTGTCCGTTTCATGTCCATTGTGGCTCGGTCCTTGTCAACATCTACTGCGCTCGTACACAAACAGTTGGTGCGCCCGTCATGACACGAGCTGCAGCGAGGCCGTCAGGAAGGGGTTTGTTGTGCTCATACCCGGAATGCTAGAACTATGCGGTCTCATATGCGTCTGTGATCTGCGAGCTTTCGATAGTGAGTTGTCCGGCCGTTCGGCGGATTCCCCGTGGCGCTTATGCTCAAGTTCGAACACTGCCACCACTGCCCATATAGGTAGGTACTTGTAAGATTTTGGACACGCGTTTCAGGTGGAAAACAGGCCCCGACCGGCGACCGTTTTTCTGGAAGACGATCTCCGAGGCAGCCTTGGACGTTGAGCCGCCTTGATGGCTCCACTGGACCAGGGTGTAACCCATTCATTCTATTTTGCGAAGTTGCGTGCAGAGAGCACCGAGCTCGGCTTTGATGGGTAATGGCGAATCGGCATGTGCAAGTCAGTATTCCATCAGGCCGAAGTCTTGCAGAGGTATACCGGAATCTCGCTTATGGCCTCACCACGACGGTGTCGCCCGCAGGAAACTATATCACAGGCATCGCTGGGAGATCTGACATCTCGCTTGCGTGGGCGTTGAGACGGTTGACAGACCCTCTGGTGATGGTGAGATTGGCGCAGTCAGAATCAAAAGAGTAACCATCATAACGAGATGACTTGGTGCGACGCGGCATGCTGGGACCAAAAAATATCAAGTTGCCTCGTGTATCAAAATCGAGGCACGTGAACAGCACCAATGTCAATGCCATGCGGCGCCGACCACACAACTCCCTAGGTATGTCTGTGTTACTCTACTACAGGGCTGACAAGGTCTTACAATGCCGATTGAATGGTTTGGCACCCGATTCCATCACGCAGCAGGTCGAGCCATTGTTCCGTGCAATGAAAATTCAAGTCGGAATTAGATCTTATCCTCTCGAGGAGCCACGGACCACGAGATCAATGACCACGAAATTTTGAGCTCACCAACCCTTGCCATCTGCAGGTCATCTAGTCCCACAACGATCTGACCTGGATCTGGACGGGGATCCGGTATACAAGTGACATTGATACATTGTACTGTACAGAAACAAGTACCACCGGCGTAGCTCGTTTCTCACCGTTTGACCCAAGCTGGTCTCTTTCGAGCCTTGAGCCGACCAGGTTTCTTCCGTTCGACACGTCTGGGATCCGAAGTAACACAGCCGGCTGGATTAACAATTAGAGACTGAAAATGAACACAGCTGGAACAAACTTCGCTTACCTCGTCGCAAAGCTGGCTTAAGAGCTGGTTCGTGTACCAGCAGAGCCTTGGCGAGCGCCAATGTGATGGACTCGGCCTGACCAGTAACTCCCCCTCCAGAGACCAATGCGAAAACGTTGTACTTATCCATCCTTTGTGTGATCTTCAACGCCCACAAGGCGCTCTCTCGGTCGTGCGGCCGTGGGAACGCCTGTACGATACTGCGTCCATTCACCAGCACATCTCCTGTGCCTTCCACCAGATACACCTTGGCCGAAGACTCTTTCCTTCTCCCTATGCCAACAGACCTGCCGTACTCGTCGATTTTGCCAGGATTTGCCTTCTGTATCTCTTCTGAACCTGGGCGTCTGAACCGTGACAGTATTTGCTTGACTTCCTTGGGACAGTACCTGGGATGGATCTTGTTCAATCGTGTCAAAAGCACCAGCACCTTTGAGTACTTTGAGGCGGCCACCTGTTCACCAGTCGAGCTTCGGTACTGATTGAGTTTCAGCCAAGCAGGCCGCGGTATCTGGTCTGGAGGAGCTGTGGGTAGTGATGAATGCTTCTTGACAAGTGATTGTAAGAGTAAAAGGTGGTCGTTGAAGACCGGAGAGGCTGTGAAATAGGAGGGCGACCGTGGAAGGATTCGAGCCGGCACAGATGTAGAGTCATCAAGATCTATCTCGGGCGCAGCGCGGATCTGAGCCTCTGCGGCGGCAGACTTTGTCGTAGAGAATCTATGGTGCTGCACAAGAGGCTGGATCCATTGACGATAAGCTGTCAATTGGATTTTGTCGTGAAGTCGGCATTGGCGACACATCCACGAAATGGAGGAGGGGAAGGCCCGCGCTGAAGGGCGCGCCATGTTCTATAGGGGATGAATATCACCTGCTAGAACGAAGACTGCGAGAAATCATGGTTTCCTGATCGATTGTTTGGAAAGACCGAGTTGAATTGAGTTGAACCCTGAATGGAGAGGTGTTGGAGCTTGCAGTTCGGGCACGCATTGCGCCAAGCTTTTTTGCGAGCCTGCGCCGCAAAAAGCGAATCTGTGACTGACTTTCAAAATTTGTGTCGTGACTGAATTCTGATTGCTTCAGGACATTCTCCCGCCAGCAATCTTTCTTTTTCCCTTCCGAGACACACTGTACACAAATCAACATGTCGTTCGGCAAGCTCTACGGCTACAAGGTAAGCTCTGCGCCAATGTACATTCGCAGAGGGTCAAGCGTTCCTAACCTCCCCCTTAGGAAAACGCCCGCAGCACTGTCCTCCTGGCAGTCGCAAAGGAGAACAAACTGGACATTGAGCTTGTCGAGACCCTGACCCCCATAACTGATCCCGAGTACCTCAAGTTGAACCCTCTAGCACGAATTCCCACCTTCGTTGACTCCAATGGCTTCATCTTGACCGAGTCCATGGCCATTGCCATCTACTGTGAGTCTTGCCCCGCAATGCCAGGTTTTCTAGCCACTTCTCGCCCTCAAAGATGAGCCATATTATCATATTCAGTTATCCCTGTCTGAATGATTCTTGTTGACTACATTGTACTCTGAGAGACCATAGTCCTAACCCTCCTTTGTGCCCTTTATCAAAATGTGAACTTCTAGAGCCCTAACTAATGATCAATCATAGTCACCTCGCAGAACGACAAGACCACTCTGCTCGGAAAGACCAAGCAAGATTATGCTTCCATTGTGCGATGGATGTCCTTCTCCAACTGCGAAGTCCTCCCCAACCTCTCTGGCTGGTTCCGCCCTTTGATTGGCAAAGACACCTACAACAAGAAGATGGTTGATGATCATAAGAAGGCTGCTCTTGATGCTATCCATGTCCTCGAACAACACTTCCTCGCCCACACATTCTTGGTGGGGGAGCGTATCACTCTTGCAGATCTATACGTGACCTCTCAAATCTCTCGTGGTTTCCAATACGTCCTCGACAAGGAATGGCGTGCAGAGAACCCCAACACTACACGCTGGTTTGAGACTGTCACAAACCAGCCCATCTGGAAGGCCATCGTTGCCGAGCCAATCATGATTGAAGAGGCTGTGAAGTACACCCCTCCCAAGAAGGAACCAAAGCCTGCTAAGGCCCCAGCTGCTGCACCTGAGAAGAAGGCTGAGAAGAAACCCGAGAAGGAGGAAGATGAAGAGGACGAGCCCAAACCAGAGGTCAAAGCCAAACATCCTCTCGAGGCACTACCCAAGCCAACTCTCATTCTCGATGACTGGAAGAGAAAGTATTCCAATGAGGATACGCGTTCCGTGGCGCTGCCTTGGTTCTGGGAGCATTACAAGCCAGAAGAGTACTCGTTGTGGAGGATCGATTACAAGTACAACGACGAGTTGACAATGACTTTCATGTCTTCAAACCTCATCGGTAAGTCGCTCGTTGCGTGCAGAGACATGAACTGCATACCGTGGCTGACTGATTCACCAGGTGGATTCTTCAACCGCCTAGAGGCCTCCCGCAAATATCTCTTTGGCGCAGCCTCCGTGTATGGCCAGAGCAATGACTCAGTCATCCAAGGTGCCTTCATGGTCCGTGGAGAAGAAGCTTTGCCCGCGTTCGACGTTGCCCCAGACTGGGAGAGTTACGAGTTTACTAAGCTTGACCCTGGCAAGCCCGAAGACAAGGAATTCCTTGAGAACCAGTGGGCTTGGGACAAGCCAATTGAGGTCAACGGCAAGACGTACGAGTGGGCCGATGGCAAGGTCTTCAAGTAAGGCTATGCATCGATGATGCCCAACTCCAAGACGTGCTCTTGATTGAGCGGATGTGATCATGATACCGAAAATGGCAGATCAATGACATGTGGATGTTGTGCGTGATACAAATGACAAGCAAGGAAAACCAGCTTTTCGACTGGAAGGCTTGATGCGCGATTGACAAGCAGATTTAATGTTTCTTCATCTCCAAACTAGCCAAGGCAGATAGACGCGTCCATTCCCTAGTTCGCGCTTGCTTGTGCTCCGCAGGTCCCATAGAGCAGGCGACGGAACGCGAATCAAGTATATTTGCACTTCGATATCTGCCAACTTCCACATAATTTCACTCCGCCCATCTCGGATGCCTTGTATTTTCTCCTTTCGATTTTGGGGTATTTTTGTAATAGGAATTCTCGGTACATCTACAAAGCGGTTGCAGCCTCAGGAGCGAATTAAACAATAAACAATGGACGCCCCGCTCAACGTCGTCTCTCGACGAAAATCCCCCCCACCTTGGTCTAACTTCACACGTGTGTATAGACAGGAACAGGACGATGCTGGAGAGGCGACATTTGTCTCTCCGAGAGGATCGTGTCAGTTGCGCCGGAGCCTGTTGGACAAATTTACATATATTGAATATTGTCTGAAAGGAGCATGCATGGGAAGCGTCGGCCAAGGCAACATATGCACTCTCTAAAACTCATGAGTTGCGTATTCCAGACACCATCTCATGAAGTATCTTTCTCCCCATGTGGGTCATCCGCTCCCTGGTAAAGTTCGGTTCGAGGGACGCGTGTGACTTCTTGACTTTGACTTTTTCACATCCGCCGCCACTGACGTCCAGTAAGCAGTCATGTCGCTTGGTCTGCTCGTTCGGAAAATTAAACATGTTGCCCATGTCGCGGCAAATCGAAGAGCTTGGGAGAACTTTGGTGCCAGGGCGAAAGCACTGTGTACCATCCCCTGTAGTCTCATCTCCTGCCGAGTGATGAATCCTGGACGCAGTAATAGGACGGGATGTCCGGATCAGAGGTTGAAAACCCCGAGTCAATCTGATCCACTGATCTATTGTCGCGCCATTTGAGTTCATCTGTCAGCGATCAAAATGCTTCAGCCTTATCAAATGAAGCCAGCCTCGTAGCCTCATGTGACCTTCTCACAGTAAACAGTGAAGAGTCCTCCTGCTGCAGTTAGTACTTGAAATATTATTGCGCCGCACTTCTGGTTAACAAGTCCAGGGTACAGCTGTAAGAACACATCTTCCAGTTTGTTGATTAACATAATCACACCATCTGAATGCACAGCTCTGTGTCAAGTCTGTACCCTGGGTTCGGGGCCCCCTTTCCCGGCCCCCTTCCAGGCTTGAAGAGAGGGTACAATCAAGTCACACTCAACTTCAACTTCGATTGGATTGAAGCCGAGTCCCCTGATACACTGACAAGTCCAACAGCAATTTGAAACAACAATGGGCAACAGCCACTTCGGACCGAATAAAAAATACCAACCCCGAATGGGGTGAGTTTCTCTACTCACGAACCCAAATCCTACTGGGGAGCTGGTCCGAGGGTAGAGTTTTTGCACTTTTTGTGCTCTCAGATTGCTTTTGATTTTATATTTGGGTGCTGTGAGAAAGTATGTTCGTGGGGTGAGGTACAAAGCAAGAATAGATCCGCCAAGCTGTTGAAGAGAGTAAACTGCGCAAAAGCGGCAGTACTTCCGATTTCTGGGGGCACCGAGTCCGAGTTTGCGTAGAGACTTTTCAGATATAATCGACGAAAATAATCAGTTGAAATTCGTATCCAGATGAACAATGTAGCTTCTGAATAATGACAGATTTATTCTGCTTCGACGTTTCTATGCGCAAATCATGATCCAGATTCTATTGGCGTCATGGTGCTGGTTGCAATAGGACAAGAGGTTCGACTTGGTTCAAACTAAAGTTCTCGCTCGCCATCATCGTACTTCGCCCGGTCGAGCAGCTGCGGCTGCCACATCACCATCAATGTTTCGAACGCCGGTTTCTCCTCGCCGACCCTCCCACAGGCGGACCCAGAAATCAGGAGGATCCATCGGTCGTTGACCATCATGTAAGCCAGGCCAAACATCGGCGAAAAAGTAATAGACATGGCCAACAATCACACCAAGTATCTCGTCCTTAGGAATGTTGCCATGCATAAACATGTGGAAGGCCATTAAAACCCATGGAAGATAAGGCGCCGTGAAGACAAGGACACCGAGGAAGCTCAGCCGGGTATCCGGATTACGTCGTGACCAGATATATACAAGAGTGCTCGAAAGCGCGGAGCCCAGGAATGGGATAGAGGTCGTAAGCGAGCTGAGGGCAAGCAGTGACGTGCAGGCGTATAGTAGCAGCCAGGAGAAGACTGCAGGTGAGGGGCCGGAACCTTGTTCTAATAGTCGAGAGTATCGCTGAAGGAAGAAGACGTGGAAGGCTAGGTCTAGCGACGGTGGACCGAAGTATATGAACGTGGTTAACAATCGCCAGTACTGTGAAGATCAGTAGGTGTCGGATTAGTCCTGGGGGACGCTGTGCACATACCTGCGACTTATAGTAAACTGCGCGCCAAGAGTAGAACAACTGAAATGGAGTGATGACTTTGCACTGCAGCAGAATGGATGTGATGACTGTTGCGGTCGTCCAGTACCGGGTACATGGCGGCATCTCAAAGAACCATTGTTCGAGAGGAAACTGTCCCAGCTGGCCGAAGCCGTCCTCGCCTCCACCTCCAAGTATTGCAGCCATTATCCAAGGGATCAGATCAAAAAAGGGGAGGATCGTTCGGGAGAAGTCTGAGAGGAACTCCGGGCTCTGGACGATGGTGTAGATAGGAGACAGGATGGATTGAGTCAGGATCGGAGAGCGCAGATCGGAGTAATCATGGTGGAAACTGTCTGCTGGCGGAATTGGAGACAATATAGGAAGGGAAAGGTTCATGTAGTGGTAAAGAGGATAAGTTGTTAGGTGGCCTCTTCACAGGGTATGAGACACGCTCGTAAGGCAACGTAGGAGGCGAGGGTCAACCGGGGGCTTCTCTGAGGGAAGCGGAATGAGGTCTGGAATGATGTCGAACCGCGGGTGGGATGGATGGCGATGGATCAGGCAGGTAAAGCGATTCTTCGGCAAAATGCAAGCGGCTCGGCGGCTCGCTAATTGTGGGTCTCTGAGCGCGCAGAGAATGCAACTCAATGAGAGCGACGCGACTTTCATGTGCCCACCGAGGCCGCGCACCCATTCACCTTGGATCTTATGTACTTTAGTTACCGTCGAGTATTGCACGCCAGCTGCAGGCAGTAAGGCACTGATCCTCCACAAACAACCCTGTGAACCCCCGAAACCATCTGGTAATCTGCCTCCCAGCCACTCGATTCCCCGCCTTCAATAGGTCGCCCTCCATCGATCGATCCAAGCCTACCTCTCGAGCCGCGCATTCATTGATCAATTCTCCACCTTCATTGGGCAACTTTGGTGGCCTCAAGCCCGCAAGAAGTTCCAATATGGCTCAGACAAAGAATATCCAGCGGCGCTCAGGGCCTCCAACACCAAGGAGAGGACAAGCCCAACGAGTGAACCCTTCGCCTAGAACAATAGCAGGCAAGCGCCCTCGCGCGCAACGTAAGTTCCCAGATAGCATATTGACTATACGGCATCCAACGCTGACGCCAATCGACAGCTGGCGATCCAGTACCGGTGCGAAGACCCCGACGATATCGACCGGGAACGCTCGCGCTCAGAGAAATCCGAAGATACCAGCAATCAACCGAGCTCTTAATCCTAAAACTCCCTTTCGCTCGTCTCGTTCGAGAAATCGCCCTCAGCATCCTTCCATACCACGCAGCGCAAGAACTCCGGTGGCAGAGTCAAGCGATCCAGGCCCTGCAGGAAGCAAGCGAAGCATTCCTCGTGCACCTGTTCGAAGATACAAATCTGTGCGCGATACATGCAAAGCGCGTTACGATTATGCAAAAGGACATTCAATTAGCGAGGAGGATTCGAGGCGCTTGGGGCGGCTTAGGTTGATCCCACGGATTGATTCGGCATGACTTTATGATTTACAAAGAGATTAGCATTGTTCGGCGTTCTACTATCGGATATCCCAGTACGGGCAATGGAATTGGTCGCCACGGGGAACAGAGTGTGGCAGCATCCTGTATCTGGCTGAGTTTGTCCTCAGGATGAATCGGTTCTTTGATGCAGCAGGCAAATTTTGTGTTGGACCGCGGGATTTATGGTCAACTCGCGTTGGTGCCATGATCGTTTCAGAAGAGCAGATAGCCACCAGAAATGAACTTCGCTCTATCCATAATAACTTCATCAATCCTACCCAGTCACACTCGACCCAAGGACACCTTTTGTACTCGTTACGTCTCCGCTGCCCACTGCGCCCTCAACTCTCCTCTCGCAAGCTTGCCTGCAAGCCACTGCAAGCGCCTTGAAGGCGCTTTCTGCTCTGTGATGGTTATTGCTTCCGTAGACGCACTTCACATGTAAGGTCACACTGGCAGCTTGGGCAAAACTCTCGAGGCCATGCGTGAGCATTTCCGTGCTTAGATCACCGATCTTCTCTCTGGTGAATCCAAAGTCAATCACGCTGTATGGTCGATTGGAAAGGTCGATGACAGCCCACGATAGCGCTTCGTCGAGGGGTGCGTCGCCGCGACCGAAGCGGACGAGAGAAGTCCGTTTCCCTAGTGCGGCGTTGAACGCAGAGCCGACCGCCAGAAATACATCCTCGGCCGTGTGATGGTCGTCGATGATTAAGTCGCCGGTTGCTCGGATGGCTAAAGACCAACCCGCATGTTTCGCCAAAGCGTGGAGCATGTGGTCTAGAAATCCAATGCCAGTGGCTACGGCTATTTGCTGTGTGGGCGTTATCTGTGTGGCATGGAGTGATGTAGGCAAAGGAACTAGAACGTTCGGATGTGATTGTTTCTGGGCCGCCGGTATCGACGACGAGAAATGTTGGGAGGCTTCGTATGGGAGAAGTGAGCCTCCATCT